GGCTAGACCTGCTCAGAGCAGTCTTCGTCGGGCCTCAGATTGTCTGAGCAGGGCCGAGGCCTGAGACCTGCTGTCTGAAGTGGGCAGGCCATCTGCCCCGGGTCAAGGCAGAGGGACTTCAGGCGGCCATCTGGGTCAGCAAACAGATCTCACCCCCAGATGGTTCAAGTGAGGAGATTTATGGAGGGGTAAGAAGGGCTCAGGGACTCACCAGGGACAGGTGAGAGCCCTCGCGGTCAAGGAGGGGCCACCGGCAGGAGCTGTGGTCCTGGAGGGAGGGAGCAAGGGAACAGACACCTCGACCTCTCTGCCCCCTCCCTCCAGCCTCCCATTTGCTTATCCTAAATAGGACCCAGGGCCAGAGAGCCTCGGTTATGCCGTCCAGGGAAGTCTGCTCTGAAAGCACAGAGTGGGTTGAGGGGGGTTCGGGGGTTGGGGGAGTGAGAATAACCAGCCCGGGCCTGTCAGATGATGACAGGAAGTGGCTCCAAAGAGCGGGACGGGGGCAGGGGGTGTCTCGTCTCCTATGGCATCCTCCTCCTCGCCAAACCAGTGCCCCCTTAGAGTTCCATCCTGGACCTTCAGGCTTCAGCAGTGACCCAGCTAGGCGACTGGGTGTTCTGCTGAGTCCTCGTGGCGTGGTTACTGTTCGTGTCTGGTCTTGTCCTGATCAAAGGCAAAGCATCCCACTTGTACGGACAGGACAGGACAGGCTCTGCTACCTTCAGGGTCTGCATCGCAGGGGTTGAAGGGGCCAGGGCAGGACATCTCCAGCCTGGAGTGGTATTTTCAAGACCCTAGTGAGGGAGACTCCGTGGTCTGCTCTGTGGAGATTTACTGAGCACACTCTGTGCCGATGGTAGACAGGATGGAGGCCTCTCTACAAGATTCAAGGTCGAGCCAGGGAGCCCAGCATACAAGCGGGTGTTAACGGGACAGGCGATCTAAGGAGGCTGGGGGTGCAGGGCACAGGGAGGGCGCCGGGCTGCAGTCTGTGCAAGGAGAGCAGGGGCCGCTGGCAAGTAGGCTGTGATGAGGGGGCCGTTCTGAGACTGGGCGGGGTGGGGGGATGTTATGAAGGCCTCGAGATGGAAAATGTAGAGGCTGATGGGAAAAGTAGGAAGGAAGTTGACCTCCATGCAAACCATAGCCTCAGTTTTCCTTTCCTTAAAATGGAAGAATAACATCTCCTCTCGTGAGTAGTTTGCGGTCGTATGTTTAGAGTGGAACCCTGAAGATCTATAATCCGTGATGAGAAACACGGGAGGGAAACAGGCAACAAGCAGGATTTGGCGAGAAACAGAGGGCGGGGAACATGTGACTTTCCACTTCCTCTGTCGGGTCTCCCAGCGCTGCGCTGAACCCCGGGTGTCCAGAGATGACCAAGGCCCGAGGGCACGCCGTGCCTGGGGCTGAGGTTTGGGAAATTCCTCTCTGGGGAGCAGGCGGCGTGGGTTTCAGTGGAGTCAGGTGTAGGCACGGAGACCAGTGAGGAAGCTGCTGGCGGACCTCAGGCCAGAGAGGCGCCCCTCGGCTGTGTCAGGAACCTTCTGCGCCCTCAGCAGCTTCCCCTGCGCTGGCCCGAGAGCCCCCCGAGGCCCGGGGCTGTGTCTCCTCCTCCCCCACCCCCTGCCCTTTTCAGATGTCTCAGATCTAACAGGCTCCCCCAGGCTCTTTTAATGAAACACAATTACTCAGAATTACCCAAGGCCAGTTTTAGCCCCAAATCACCGTGCTCACTGCCGGCGACACTTTGAGGCCACCACATTCCAGCCACCGAGGCAGCGGGGCTCGGAACGCAGCCTGGTTCCGTATTAACCTGAGGGCACTAGAACCAGGAAGGGTAATTCTGCTATTTTTGGAGATTCACATTCTGTGCTTCAAATACAAAAGAGCTTTTTTTGTACCCTGCTTACCGCTGTTCCTGCTCTTCAGTGTGATGATGGGAAGTCCAGGGCGTACATCATTGTCATCATCGTAACAACAGCAGCCACCCTTCAGTGAGAATTACCATGTGCCAGGCAGCATGGCAAGTGTTAGACTTAATAGTTCATTGAATCCACCCATCCATTCTTCACTGCCCCCTCTCATTTTACACATGAAGCCTCTGAGGCTCAGAGAGGTTAAGCAGCTTACCCAAGGTCACACAGCTTATAAATGATGAAGCGGGGATTTGAACCATAGTAGCCGGGGTCCAGAGCACCCAGTCTTAATGACTGTGCCACCTCGGCTCTTAGCGTGAAAAGCCCTCCCAAAGAGAAAGAGATGAGAATTTGCAAGGGATGATGTCAGAGGGAGGCCGGAGAGGGGATTTTTATCAACTCCTCCAATGACCAGAGGCCTCTCCAGGCTTTGTGCGGCACAGGAGTAGAGAGTGTGTTTCCAAGGGTAAGAAACATACACAGATCTGACGGCTGGAGTCAGAGAGAGAGGCTGGGGGTAGAGACATCTCGCCTGGGCGCACCTCCCAGACCGTTACTCCCTTCTCCTGACTTTGACTTAGCTCTACCAGATGCATCCTCTTGGCCGCCCCCACCCGACCGTGTCCCCGGGCCCGCCGCTCCTCAGGGACCCTGGCACCAGGGTGGAGTACCCGCCACGCCAGACTCCCGACCAATTTCTCTCCCCTGTCTTAAAACCCCAGCTCCCCCAATCAGGCTGTTTCTCTGCCTTGCCAGCTGAGAACGCGTGTGTTTTAAAGCTCTGAATGGGCCATTTAGGCTCGGAGTCCAGATGCATTTTTATATCCGCATGGAAAAAAAATGCAGAGGCTCTGCTGGCAGTCAGAAAGAGTTTTTTAAATTAACGTTTAAAAAAAAGGAGAAAGAAAAAGTTTCCTGCACCTGGCCCTTCTCGGAAAAGCACAGAGAAGAACAAAAGCATTTCTTTAATTTTGGCCACATGTCTAATTTTTAAAACATGCCTGTCCCACTCACTGCACACTGGTGCTTTTCAGATTCAATTGTCTGTCAAATATCTACTGTGTGCCACCCTCGGGGGTCATTGTGTGGAAGTCCTGTGATTCGTCCCATTTTACAGGTGAGGAAACTGAGGCTCAGAGCAGGGAAGTTGGCTTACCCAAGGTCACTGTTATCTCCCTAGGCTGCTGTGAGAGACTGGGTGGCTTAAAACAACAGAAACATATCCTCTTACAGTTCTAGAGGCCAGAAGTCCAAGATCAAGGTATCCGCAGTGTTGGTTCCTTCTCAGGGGAAATTCATTCCATGCTTGTCTCCTGGCTTCTGGTGACAGCCAGCACTCCTTGCCATGTAGGTATCACTCCAGGCTCTGCCTCCGTGCTCATGTGTGTTCACCCTGTGTCTCTGTGTCCTCACATGGCCATGTCTTGTAAGGACACCAGTCACACTGGGGCAGAGGCCTGCCCTGCTCCCGCACGTCCTCATCTTAACTGCATCTGCAAAGGCCCTGTCTGCAAATGAGGTCACAGCCTGAGGTGCCGGGGGTTAAGATTTTAACATATCTTCCTTGGGGGGATCCAGTCCCACCCCTAATAGTCACAATGCAGATGAGGCCAGAGAGGGGTCAGTTCCAGTCCACAACCTTCCTGGTTATGCGCTGCCTCCTTGCAGCATCAAAGAAACAGAAGGGCAAACCCCACAGCGCCTCATCTTGTACCAGATGGCGCTGCCTGCAACCTAAAAGCAGAGAACAAGGCACCACCAGCAGCCTCTGAGGCTCCCCAGTGCTGACAGTGCTTGGAGCCCACCCTCCTCAAACCAAGCCAACCTGAGGCCTCTCTGCTGAGAGGAATCGCAGATAAGTCTGTGGTAGCAACGCCACCACCAGGAAAACTAGCATCTCTTGAGTGCTGACCGTGTACCCCATACTGTTCTGGGCACTTGGCACTGTCATCTTCTCTAGAACCGTAGAGTACCATTAGCGCTCCCATTTTACAGACAAGGAAACTGAGGCTGAGGAGGTTCATTTACTTGCCCAAGGTCTTGAAGCTAGGAAGTACAGGACCCACCCTGCCCAGGCAGGGTGGCCTCAGAGGCCAAGCTTCTGGCCACCAAGCATGGTGGCCTCTGTGTGCCTCAGGGGTGTTTTGGGAAGAACCCCAGCACAGGGCCATTTAGCTCGAGACCTGTGATGTTTAAGGCGGAACTCGCCAGTGCCATGTGATTCCATTTCAATGAAATATCCAGGATAGGCAAATCCTTAGGGACAGAAAGTAGACCAGTGCTTGCTGGGGGCTGGGGGAGAAGGGGACAGGGAGTGTCTGCTGATGAGTACGGAATTTCTTTTCGAGTGATGATGCTGAAAATGTTCTAAAATTGATATGGTGATGGTCGCACAACTCCGTGAATAGACTGAAAGCCATTGGATTGTACGCTGCAGATGGGTGATTTGTGTGATATGTGAATTATATCTCAGTAAAGCTGTTACAAAACAAAAATCAGAAAGAGAAGGAGGCAGAGTGCAGAAGGAGGTCGGGAACAGCAAAAGTCGAGAGGGAAAAGTGCTTGTGGGCCGCAGGCTGCTGAGCTGGGGTGGGAGAGGGGTGCGGCTGCAGGCGGCACGGCGGAGGGCAGCAGAGAGAGAGATGAGGGACAGAATCCCGAGGGCAGGTGGCGGACAGTGCCATCCAGTGCAAGTGTGGGGCCCGCGTGGTTGTCATCAGGGGCTGGACAGGCTCGGCTTTCTCAGAGGCACTGCCTCTGACAGCCAGGCAGGAGGCCAGCCTGCTAACGGGGTCGCCGTCCCCAGGTGGGATGTGACGTGGGAGGGAAGCTGGCCGCCTGGCCCAGGCACCAATTACAGGCCCAGACGGTGGATGTATTGACCGCACAGCCACTTGCAGCTCTGTCCCTGGGCACGTAACCCACTAATTGACTAGAAGTGCCCAACAGCTCCGCACACCCTCACCAGAGAGCCTGTGTCACAGGCCCGGAGCTGGCCTTCAGGTGTGTGGTGCCGGCCAGAGCACAAGTGGGGTGTCTGCGGGTGGGTCTTTGCTGATGTGCTGTGTTTCGTTACAGAGAGCCTTCAACGCCCTGTGTCACAGCACCCACTTGTATGGCCGGAGGCTGGTCCTGGAGTGGGCTGACTCCGAGGTGACTCTGCAGGCCCTGCGGCGGAAGACAGCCGAGCACTTCCACGGTAAGAGCCGCGGGGCGGGGCTCCCAGGAGAGCTGCCCTCCCACTGATGGGCCGCGGAGGGCAGGTGCCCAGTCTTCCCTCCATCTCTCCACATCTCCTCTGTGCCGGGGAGGGGCTCACCTGCGATGGCACCAGTGGTGTCCACGCCCTTTTTGGCTTCCCGGTCGAATCAGGTCATTCGGAGGCCTAGCAGGAAGTCAGAGAGAGGAGGAGCCTGGGGTCAGGGTGGTCATCCCCACTGCTGCCTCTCTTCCTGCCATGTTGCTGCCAGCTGGCTGATGCTACCACCAGAGGCCACAGCTCACATCCAGTGGCCTTCTCCGCCCAGGGCTCTCTGTCCGGGGTCCAGTGGCCGACCCAGGGGCCATTTACCCCAGTTTCCCTGCACCTGCTACCCCTTTACTAGACCCTCCTCAGTTACCCAGCTTGAGTGCCATCCACTTGCCCTGATGGCCACAGGACTTACTCCACCTCTCACACACCCTGGTGGTGTCACACGGCCTTACTGACTATTCAGTCCATCCCTAGAAAACACTGAGTGAGCACCTGCTGTGCCCCAGCACAAGAGCTGCAGCAGTGACCTCGTGGGGCTCCGGGTCCAGGTGGAAGAGGCTGGGCAGGTGGCTTGAGTATGCAGTCCAGAAGGGCCTCCCTGCAGAGGTGACATTTGTGTCCACAAAAGGGCTGCGCAAGGTTGGCGTGAGCAGGAAACAGGGAAGCCAGCGTGGCTGGAGCAGGTGAAGTTGGAGAGGGCGGCAGGGGGCACTCACACGGGCCTTGCCTTCTCCAGCAGAGGGTCAGGGGAGGAGGGGATGAGAGAAAGCCCGAGAAGGGGCCACTCTGGACATGGGGGAGGCATGGCCAGTGCCCCTCCTGCCCTGGTGCTCCCCTCCACCTTCGGGGATGTTTGAAGTCCAGCCCCAACTCTGTCCCTCTCCCACCCATCTCAGAGGTTCTCCCACTGTGGTCCAGGCCAGGCAGTAAGAGGGGCAGCTGCTGGTCCCCTCCCCACTTTGACGCCCATTGGCCTAGTGCTGGGAGCCCCGCAAGCAGCCCTGCCCGGCTGGGAGTGCATCCCTCCCTCCCACCTGCCTGGAAAGCTGGGCTTTGTGAAGCGGCTTGACTGTCCCACCTGCAGCGTCGCCCACGGTGCTGAAGTCACAGGTGGCCTCTGCCTTCCCCACCCCAGGGAGTCCCCATCCGCCGGGCCGTCTGGGGGTTGTCTGCGGAGCCTGCCCTTGCTCCACTCATCTGTGTGGAGAACCAGGACTTTTTACGGTCCCCGCCAGGGACACTCGGCTTCCTAAATCAGGCAGCGACTTAGGGCACCTCCTTAGGGAGCCGTGAGTTTTCCAGGCGGGCCTTACTGGTCTTGCTCGGGGCCAGCAAGCAGGGCTTCTCAGCAGTGTGTCAGCCACGCCAGTCTGCATCCCCACAAGTGTGCTCAGAACTGCAGAGACAGGATGGAAGCCCTAGGACTGTAGCTCAGCCTGCTGAACCCTTCAGAATACACCCCCTGCCCACCCCAGTGGTCTTTCTGGCCTGTCCTTCCCCACCACACCGCCCGCAGAGTTCACTGTCTCCAAATGCCAGGCAGGACACGTACACTGTTCTCTCTGCTCAGAATGCCTTGCCACTCAGCTTTTTCTACAACCTGGCAAGGGCCTATCCGGCCTTTAAGGCCCAGCTCAAAGGACACCTCCTCCACGAAGCCCTCCCTTTCTGCAACCCCCCCACCCCAGGATCAGTAATGGCTCCATCCTCTGTTCTCCCGCCTCCGTTCCTGTACCTCCTTGCCGTGTTGTCACGTGTTTCTTTACGGTTGTTCTCCTCGCTGGACTGCCGCCTCCTCCCGGGGCAGAGACCATGCCCTCATGCTCACCTCTGTCACTGACCAGTTCCTCTCTGGGCCCCGCGGTGTCCATCACAAGCCCAGCCCTCAGGCTGGGGTATGTATGAGCGAAGGCAAAGGAGGGACCAGAGAAATCAGGGCTGAGTACAGCGCACAGCTCAATAAGTCCCGCAAGCCTGGCGTGCGGGAGGGGAGCCTCTCCTTATCGACAGCCATCGACAGGCCCAAATGCACCCATCGGCAAATGTTTGTGTAAGGGACTCTCCCGTGTCCCTGCCACCCAGCCCCGGGGCCGGGGGCAGGGGAGGGAGCGCCAGCTCAGCAGTTCTGCCCTGCCTTGGAGAGAAGCCCCCTTCAATAAATTGAGCACCAAAGACAGCATTATTGCCTCACCCCAGTGGGAAGACACGGCCAGAAGCGTTTCTGTGCGACTGGCTGTCTCCACGTATCCGCTGCAGGCCGAGGCCCAGGCTGGGGCAGGTAGAGTAGTAGCAGCAGGAGAGGCGGCAGTTTACATGTCCACCTTGTCCCCTGAATCTCCACCTGAGGTAGGCGTGCTTAGCCCCGTTTTATGGATGAGAGAACTGAGACCAGCTGAGCTTTGAAGGGGACTCGGGACAGGTGCTGTTTATCAAGGACATGCCCTGTGCCGGGCCATCCTCTGTGTGTGACACGCATTGCCTCTCTCACCCGCACAGCAGCCCTAGCCACTGTAGGCACTGCTGTCCCCATTTCACAGACAGAGAAACTGAGACACTGGGAGGTTCAGCCGGAGAGTACAGAGCTGAGCTTGGAACTCTAGGCCAACTCCAGAGCACGTCACCGCACCCCCATGCACAGCCAGTCCTCTTTGAAGGCCCTATGTGTGCGTGTGACTTTGTCCCCATTTACAGATGAGGGAACCAAGGCACAGAGGTGAGAAAAGCCCCTCCCCCCAAGGACAGCACTGAGTGTCAGAGCCAGGTCGTGTGCTTCCTCTCCTTTTGAGTTCCTTTGAAGGGCTGTTGCCCTCCCAGGTTCTGGAAGGTGAGCCTTAAAAGACCCTGGGTGGATGTCAGGGTCCCAGCAGGGAACAGACTTCACCCCAAGGGTTCACAGGCAGAGCCTGCCATGCAGAGGTGAGCAGCAGTGAGGAGGTGGAGGGGCATGGGGAGGAAGTGACATCCCTGCGGTACCGTGAGAGCAGGAGCCTCGGAGACTGCCACCTGGTCCCCGAGTGTGGAGGGATGTGGCCAGTGCCTCCTTCCCATGTCCGCAGGATGCTGCGGGAGAGCGGGAGGTAGACCAGTTGTCTAGAACAGGTGCTCTGGAAAAGTCAGCCTTCTCACCCACCCACCCCATTGTCTGCTTGATCTCTCTGGAAACAGGGTACCCACAGCAGCCCTGAATATTCAGAATAGGGCTGCTGGCCTCCTGCCCTCCCCCCCAACCCCACCCTGCTCCTTCCCTGTGGCGAAAAATATCCAGCTCGTTTGTGTTGAAATCCGCATTGTTCAGAGCTGCCAGGGCCCTGGCAGACTGAGGGCAAGTGGGATCCATGCCCAGTTTCTCCCAACCCCTCCGGCCCTGATCTGTGCCAGGAAGGCACTCAGATCTCAGGTGGAGGCCCCGAGCCCCATTTGCCCAACCTGAGCACTGAGGCCACGACAGAGGCTCCCTGTGGAAGGTGGGCCTTAGAATGAAAGGCAGGCGTCTTAACCATTCAGCCAGGCCTGGCAGGAAACTTGCTGGTGACACCGTGGCCTTTGAGCTGCCCTCGGCGACAGTGGGAGGTGGCCAGAGTGATAAAGAGGTGTTTTGGCCCCGTTGTGGCCGGTGCAATCAGCATGAGTTACCCCGCGTGACCCTGCGTCTGGGGCTCAGCTCCTCCCACAGACCAGCTGCTGACCTGGGAGGCCGTGGTGACGGAGTGCTGGTGGGTCGAGAGCCCCCCCACCGCCGCCGCCCTGTGACCAGGCGTCCTCTCTCCTCCCTCGGTCCCTGACAAGCCTAGGTCAAGGCGGACAGCTTGATGCGCAGTTCAGGCTAGATAATACTAATGACTATTATTATTACTCTGACAACCTTCATCTGTTAAGCCTTACTCCCTGCCAGGTCCTATCTGTGAGCTTTCACGGGGATTAATCCTGTGGAATCCTGAGAGGTAAATCCTCTTATTACCCTCAGTTTCACAGACAAGGAAACTGAGGAATACAGAGGGCAGACCACATGCCCGGGGCGCCCAGCTCCTAGTGGCCGAGTCACGAGTCAGACCTGGGCTATTAGCCATCTTGCTGGCTTCGTATCCGCAGGTGTGGACCACTGCCCCTTGTGTTTCACCCCAGTATGTGTCCCCATGTCCGTTCTGTGACCTCAGGTGAGTCACTCGGCCTCAGCTTTGTCATGTATACAGTGGGATTAGGGTGCCTACCTCATAGGGAATCGGGGGGCTTACAGGAGATGGTGCCTCTAAAGCTCTGGGTGTTTAGTGAGGAAGCAGCAAACATTACTTATCCTCCCCTCCCCTGCAAGGCACTAATAATGCATCTTCCTTCTCGGGCTTGCCAAGAACACTCCCCGTTTTCCTTGCATTGCAGTCGAGCCAGG